TATATATATTTGTTTATATATCAAAACTTATTTTATTTAAAAATTTACAAAAGTATAGTAAAAGAATTAATGGCATAATTGTATCGAGTGGTGATAAGATCACAGAAGAGTAGAGTTAATATTGAAATACTTGTCAGGCTGAAGTAATTTCGAGAGACTAATAAGGATATGATCGGGTTACAATTGCTTACCATCACAGATCAGCTTGTCAGTTAATGTGAAGGTATGAAAAATGGATGAACAAACTAATTTTAAATTGTGTAGATGCTTGTAAATATATCTAAGGGTCAGGAATAAGCATCAAAAGGAACCACTGCTACAAAATTAATAGGTGAACAAGCAACCAGCTAGCTCAGGAATAATTTTCAATGTATATATTACGTTATGCTCTTGCTTAAGGCGTATCCCTAGCGTCCAGGAAAAGGTGCAAGGCCATTGGCAAATCCGCCTACATTCTACTTAATTGAAAAAGGTGCCGCTACCAGAGAACAGATATAAAGCAGCCCTTTTAATTCTTTTTTTTAGCCTTTAAGCTTAAAAACTATACCAAGTTAGGGAAATAGCTGGCTTGATTATTTTTATTGCCAAATTTATAAATCGATGGGAAACACAGGGTTAGTATTAAATAAATATACTTAAGTAAACCTCGTGACTCAGAAACAGTACAATACACTAAGGATAAGGGTAAAAGAAGAGAGTGGAGATATCTTTAAAAAGGATCAATGGAGTTCACCTGAAGGTAGTGCATCTGGCGCTGGAGGCCAGCATTCTCCTCCTCCAACCGTCGGACCATGTGCTCCAGTTCTGTACGGTCCATTTGCGATTTAGCAGCTAGTTCTTCTTGGCGTTGACGTTCTCGTTCAGTTTTGTCGAGATTAGATTTAAGAGTGTGCCGGTCCTTATCCAGTTTGCCACTTGCTCGCGACAGTTGGTCACGCTCCATCTCAACCTCTGATAGCGTGCGCTGGAGACTGGAGACTCGCTCCAAGAGTTCTCCTCGTTCACGGAGTGCCTGATCATAGAGGAATATTGCTAATAATTGAAAATCTTATATCAAGCCTGAATATTTGCCCAACAATGGGCAACGTCTATTTATATGTTGACATAGATATAATGCTTCCGTAGAATCGAATTACAACACAGTAATTCTAATGGTTTCATCCATATAGAGTTCTAATGCTCATACAAGACAGGGAATGTTGTAAAGCTATTCAGCACTAGTTCAACTTACCTACATGGCAGTCAAGGTTCAGGGCAGACTTAAGCAGACTTACTTAAGAGTTTAAGATCG